CTTTCAAGTGCTCAACAGCCACAGTGGCTGCTATATTGGGTAGCACAGATGTGGATCACCTCCTCTCATCACAGAAACTCCTACAGGACAGCCCTGCCAGACCCCAGGCAATTGGAGCAAATAATGATAGCTAGCATTGACTGAGCTCCAACAGAATACCAGGCCCAGTTGTTGATGTTTAGTGCCTATTACTCATTAATCTTTGTAAAACCCATGAAGTATTATTATTTGCATTTGACAGAGGAAGAGATCAATATTAAAAATTCTTAATAACTTGTCATTCATATTTAGTAGCAAATGGTAGAAATATGAACACAAGCCTATTAATGGCAAACTATAATATGATCTCTAGTTTCCTGTGGGGAGCCATACAGACTAATAATACTAAAGCCAGTATTTATTGAGCACCTACTACATGCCAGGCACTATTCTAACAGGCAACATACACAAATAATTGGTAGGTAAGATCATTATTCCATTTTATAGGTGAAGAAATGAACTTCGAGAGGTTAAGAAATAGTTCTAAGATCACCCAGCTAGTAAGTGATAGAGTTGGGATTTGAGCTCAGGTCTGACTCTAGAACCTGGGTGCCACACCATTATACCGTACTGATGAAGAGCTGGCCGCTGCTTCTATGTTGTGTAAAAAGCAAGGACTACCCTGTGGCCCACAATTCCAATCCCTGTTCACAGGGTTGGTTGCTCTTTCCTGATGGGCTCTCTCATGGAGCTGGCTGTCAGATGCCTCTGCTCATTTCTCCTTGCTGCTGGCCAGCAAGGTCTGTTGCAAGCTACCATGGATAGAAATCATGAAAGTCGTGCACCAGCAAGTCTTGAAAGGAGTCCTTTGGCCTACTCCTTGGAGTCGAACCACCTCAGCCCACCACAGGGCAGCTTAAGAGCATCCTGTTGACATTCCTTCTTGACATTTGGTGGACCCAGTGGTCATCCTTTCAGTCCTGGTGGGCTGGCTGTGTTCCAAGCATGATCACAAATCCCTCTTATCCTTTAATGAGAAGCTGGGCTAGTAGGCAATCATGAGCTGGCTCAAGAAGTTGGGTGTGACATTTATGGCATGATCTGCATATTTTTATTTAGCTTGGTCTAGAACCAGGTGCCACATGGGCACCATACTCCACCTGCCAGTCTCATCAAGATATCCTGATTTTTTTTCTTTATGTTCCTATTGCTTTGATACTTTTAGAGCATTATTGATACCTGAGAAGCAAAACTCAATGGAGGTTTTTCCTTGTATCTCAGCAGCAAAATTCTATTGGCTGTCAATAAGATTTTCTTGGCACAGGTTAGCATTTAATCTTGGTCAACTTTTCAACTTTTCACAGCCTTAGCAGTATTATAACTATGCAAGATGGCCCAAAATCCTTTGGAGGCTGTTTCGAGTAAAGTGATTTAGCAGTCATAAATGGCTTTAAGGGGACAGGTCTGTTGGTTGTGCAGCTGGAAGTACCTCCCAAAGACCTTGAAACTTAGGTTTCTTGATGTACTCCGGAACAAATAAATATGCAAACCAGTCTCAAACTATTAGTGGTGTGGACCAGCTATGGGAAATACCTTCAGATAACTGGCAGAATCTTTGTGGAATCCCACTGAGCTTCTTTAGTCAGGTCAATATTATAGGTTGTGTGTAAGTCAACTCACAGTGTCAAAGACTTTTGTAAAACTGGAGGACCTGGTGCACTTCCTCTACGTGATGTACCACAAATACCACAGGAAAGTCACTCCCACTTCACCACTGTGGCCCAAGCACACGGCTGTCTTTCAAGGGTACAGCCAACCTTGCTGTGCAGTAGCTAGTTTGCCGGGGGGATATGACACGAATTTCACTACAGTAGAAAAGTGTGGGAAGTTCGTGAGAGCTGCCTGATCATTCCCATATTTTGTTCCTCTCCAAAACTACGGTGAACTTGAAACCCGCCTGTGTGTCCTTGGCACTCCACCTAATACAGAATGGCAAACACAGCAGTCTAAGTAGCTTCTTCCACTTCCACTTGAAAATTTCCTCAGGTACAGAGCCGTGACTGCAATTCAGGATTCCAGCTCCAGCTTCTGGGTGGGAGGCACTCGTATTTTTCACCTACACGGGCCTGGGGGCTTCAGGAGGCGGCGCGTTCCCCTCCCCCGAGAGGCTCGGGCACACGGACAGAGGCTGCCTAGAGGGACCGCTGAGAAGGGGTTTAAGGACTGGCCGGGGCCTGACTAAATTCCCCAATCGAACCCCCAGAGGCTACGATTTAGCACGTTCTCTCATCTGCGAAGTTTCACATCCATATTGTTCTAGTCTTCTTTAAACACATCACACTTTTTGCCCACACTGTGTGTGTGTCTGTGTCTGTGTGTGTGTGTCTGTGTGTGTGTGTCTGTGTGTGGGTGTGTGTCCTGGAATGTCAGCACATTCCAGCTAGCGTTGACTTTTTAATTATTTTTTGTTCCGATGTTGACTGAAATGCTTTCTTCCTGGAGAGGCCGTTGCTAACCGTTCTCTCTCTGTAGGTGCATCATGCTAGTCTCTATCTCTGAATCCATTTAATTGTTTTCCAGAATGTATGTAATGGTGGCTATATCTACACTTGTTTGGGGGTTGGCTGCCTGCAGACTGTAAGGAAGCATCCATGTCTATTTTATTCACTGATACTGACCTGTGCTTAGCACATATTAGGCATTTAAATAATTGTTGAATGTCTGACTGAATGAATATTAGCATCAGAATAAAGTCATTTCTAGAATCTATGCTGCAGAATTTTTGGGTAGGAACACATGTTTACAGATATTCGACTACATCGTTTATCAGTGAAATATAGATGCCCTCAGTTTCTTCTTTTCCCCACTCAACAAGGTTGTTGGTTGAGCTACCTAAATTTATAATAAGCACTTTATAGCTATCTTCAGTTAGGTTATATATCAGAAATCTTAGCAAAAGAATAAAAAAGGCTTTTGTTTTGTTATGCTTGTTTTTAAAAAGTATCCAGAGCTTGGCTATATACTGATAGTCTACCAGTTCCTTTCTAGATCCTCTGGAATAACCCAATCACCCTTCAGGCTCCACATAGCACCAGTTTGCCTGACTGGAGTGGGTGGATCCTTGAGGTCTTCCTCTGGTCCCCTGGCTTAACAACGACCTGCGGGCCTGACTCCTGGTCACCGTGGTGAACTCTCCAGGTGGGAGCTGGTCACATTGAATATGACAGGACCAGAGTAGAAGGCCCCAATGACCAGATGCATCAGGAACAAAGAGGGGGGGACAGGGTCCTGAAAATAGAAATCGCATCAAAAAATAGATGATGAGGCCTCTGGCACTACAAAGGGAAACACCACCTCACCATACTCTTCTGTGCAGCGTGAGTTGAGTTCTTCCCAAAGACAGGTTTGTGGGTTGTGCTAACTCTGCTTTCCATTTTTATCTAGATTTGTTCTTTAACGCAAATCTTATTCTTTTTCCAAGGATTGCTGTATCATCACATTAACAATAATATAAACAAACTTGACAAAAATTCCCTGAAAACAATAAGTGTGGTAATTGCATGGTTTTGTCCCAGGTACTCCCTTTTTGTTCTCAATTAAAAAGCAGTTCCAGCCGTTGTGTATGCTGTATCATTTGTTCACCTTAAATAAATACTTTGGAATCTAAAAATACAGCAGAAATAAAACTTTCTGAAAAAAAAAAAACGAGAAAAAAAAACACCCTGAAACTTAGAATCACATAAAAAATAAGAAATGGATTTTTAGGGGATCAGGATGGTTTCCAAGAGATTGAGGTTTCCTGACAAGCCAACTCTGCTATGGCCTAGATCCAGGGGGCATAGGGGTTTGTACACAACAGCCAGCCACACACCTCTAGATGAATGGTACAGACTCCCAGTCAGATATTTTAGATTTGTTTAGACTTAATAAAACCATGAGTTAACTATACTTGCTGCCAGATATTTCATGAAAGAACAGGATTTCAAGTAGCATTTGGTCAGCTCAAGACTATCATCTAGTAAATCATTTTAATTTTCTCTGCTTGAATTAAGCACACGATTCTTCACAGGGACTAACAGTTCGAGAGTGTGAGATGCTGCTAGAGAAAGATGGAGCACAGGAGTGAGTCTGCCACTTTCAGGTGCCTGGGCTCAGCCATACATTTCCATCATCAGATAACTGGTGACAATGACAAGGGAAACTCCAGGGCACAGCAAAGTGACCTGACCACTGTAGCTTTCACACCTGATCCATCCTGTAGCCTGGCTCTACACCTCCTCAGGACATAGTAACCTGTTTCCTCCCACTGGACTTACGGGTTTTTCAGCATCAGGCTTCTAACATGAAGACAGGAAGATCTGACACAGCCTCCTTGCCTGTGCTCACACTTCCCCGTGACATGCTGAAACCAGCACAACTGAACAGACACACTCATAATAAGACAGAAAAGCAGTGACAGTGCTGGCAATTTTATGCCTGGGCCAAGTGCCAGGCAGGAGGTGCAGGGAAGGGAGGGAACGACTTACTCTCAACCCTTCTCAATAAACAAAGGTTAGGGCTACTGTGAACTCGGTGCTGCTGAAAGACTCTAGCTTGAGGTTTTCCCCCAGATCCTTTGGAGGTGGGACATTCAGGCGAGGTCAGCAGAGGTTTTTAGAGCCTGGACATTCTATGGAACCAGCAGAGCTGACCAATGGAGGGGGCGGGATGTCCCTACCAGCTCCTCTTTAGGCAATGGGAGCCCTGGCTCTTTCCAGTGCTGCTGAATTAGTCATCTGTACGGCATCTCTATACATCAAACAGGCCTAAGTGGGGTTTTTTGTGTGTGTGTTTTTTTATCTCAGTTTTTCTGCGAGCAGGGAATTCAGGGATGGCTTAACTGTGGTTTGGGTTGAAGGTCTCTCATGAAGCAAGATGTCGGCCAGCACCGCTGTCATCTGAAGGTCTGACTGGGGTTAGAGGCTCCGCTTCGTCCAGATGGCTCACTGACAGTTGGCAAGCTGGGGCTGGTTGGTGGCAGACCGTCTTAGTTCCTTGATAAGTGGATCATTCCACATAGCTGCACAAGTGTTCTCATGACATGGTGGCCAGATTTCCCTATAGTGAGTGAGAGAAGAAAGGGGGAAGTAGAAGTCATAGTGTCTTTCATGTGCTAGCCTTGGAAGTCACACACTGTCACTCACAATACTCACTTGGTTACACAAATCAGCTCTCCTTAACACAGAGGGGGACTACCTAGGACATAAATATCAGGAGGCAAGGGCTGTTGGGGCCGTCTTAGAGGTGGGCTTCCACTGCCCATGGGAATTGGTTTGCCCAATGACTAAGCTCCTCCCAAGAGTTATACAAATCTGATGTTCACGGAAATGCCCAAGTGTCCTTTTAGAGAAAGGTCAACAGCTCCTGACCTGCCTACATCAGGCAGGTGGTGGCTGAGTGCCACACCCCAGCTACCACACCTCTGCTTGGGTAGCAGCACACATGGGGTAAGTGCTGAGGAGTCACCGAATCACCCTTCAGCCAGGCACACACCATGGCTTAGAATATAATTTAAAGCAAGACTCACTCCAGAGAACCTTCCAGCTGGAGTATTGCCCTGAAATGGGCATCTGGTGTTCCCAAAGAGTTAATAAGTCTATTTAAGTGTCTGAGGTATACCTGTGAGGCTCTGGGGAGAATGTACCCACACTAGATTTCTGCTCTTTCCTGGGGGTGGGGTGGGGGGGAATAAACCTTGCTGACTCACATGGGAGTAGAAAACGTAGCTATTAGCAACTGCTAGGTTCACCCGTGGTGGATGTTTGTGGAAATTCCCATGAACTTCCATTATCCTCTGCAAGACAATCTAACCTAATTTCAACTGTAAAATTGAAAATTGAAAATTGACTGAAGAGAAAGTATGTGCCAGGCAGTTTATATACATTATCTCCATTAGTCTTCACAGGAACCCTGTGAGCTAAGTATCATGACCACTATTTTCATAGAAGAGCAAACTGAAGCTCAGGGAGGCTAAATGGCTTGTCCAATTTCCCAGCTAGCAAATGGGGCAGCTAGGATTCCAACCTGGGTATGTCTGACTTCGAAGCCCATGCTATACACTCTCTGGGAATTCTCCAAATGAGTAGGGGCTATAAACCCAGTGAGAAGCTCTATCCAGGGAGAAGGAGAGGAAGGTCTAACACAGCCACAGCCCAGCGTCAGGGGCAGGAGGAGGGATGGGGGCTGAGGGCAGCCCAGAGACAGGTAGGATCTTCCCTTAGGAGTGACCAGTCTGAGGATATTCCTCTTGGACTCTGCCTCTTCAGTCTAGGCCACAGTGGTTTGAGATCTGTCTCAAGGCAGCAAACTGTGCATCTCCCTCCCCCTCCAAGGAGAGGCAGGTTGTTAATAATAATAGTTTCTGCAACCATGGCCTCCTGCTAAGTTAAGCACCACTTAAAAAAAAATCCCCACAACATTCCTATGAGGTAAGTATTAAGGCTGCGTTTTATAGCTGGGGAGATGGAGGGTTGGGGAGTTTAGGAACATCCCAGGTCACAAAGACCCAGGTGTTAATGCTCAGGGTTTCAACCCAGGCCTCTGCTCTGACTTTAAGGCCCTCAGGAATCTTAACACCGTGTTCTACCCCACAGAGGTTGGGTGCAGGGCCCCACACATGAGAGGCAGGTTGGCTGCCGCTCCCCCTGGAAGGAGGCTTGCTGAAGGCGCCACCGGGGCCCAAGCACCCATAGGGGGCCCTGCTGCGTGGGGACCTGGCCTGCAGGCAGGTCCTGTCCCTTCTCGAAGGCAGCCCCAAGGGGCTGGACAGCGTTTGGGGTGGGCCCGGGCTCTGATGCCCCAAATGGGTGACCTGGGGAGGGAGGTGTCCAGGCTTCGGTGCTCGCCCTGCACTGGGGCGCGCAGGGCTCGGACCCCGATCACCACTTTCCAACCAGCGGTCTGTTTGCTGCTCTGGTCCGAGCCTTGGCCCGCGGATGGGCGGGGGCGAAGGGGGCCGAGGGCTCCTGGGCCGCCGAG